TGGTCACAGCTGACAAATGGTGTTCGAAAGTCAGCTGTGGGTCCAGGAGGACTCCTAAGTTGCGGACCCTGTCTGAGAGACATAAGTCCACCCCTGTACTGTACATGCTCACGTTTTAACCTTTTCTTTAATTCCTTAATTGCCCCTAATATTAATGTTAATGTTTCATAGTTATGTTTTTGTTCTATTGTAAACCACCAAAGTTATCGTTATACGCATCATCTTTATATGGGCAGCATATAAATTTAATAAATAAATAAAACCTGGACATAGTTTCTCAACCTGATTGACCTCTCAAAGGCTGCAAAATTGAAGGGCAATTTTTTTTTATCATATCAATGAATTTTGATCCTATGTCAAAGCTGCAAGAGGCTGGTAGTTTATGCGTACCACCTTACAACAAAATGCTTCCATGTTCCATGTTGAACCACATACACAGAACTTCAGCCAATCCAAATTAAGTCAGCAATAAGGTAAGCAGAACCGTACTTACCTGTCCTAGATCCAAAGTAACATTCACTTCATCATACTTCAAACCTAAGGAGAGAGAAGGACTTTGCCACCAACGTTCTGTTCCATCTATAGCATAATCTATTGGATGAGCCTTATTAGGATCAGCAGCATTGCAATAGTCACAAAACTGGCCCTGAAACAAACAGGCAAACAAAAAGATATAACAATTTCCACTCAAATTTTGGTGCATTGACAGATTCAGAAGTTATACAGACATTTCCGCATAAATGCCTAAAACAGCCTAATTCAGAAACAGAGATAAAAATAGATTCCTCCACAGCAAAAATCTTGCTTTACTGCAGTTACCTGAAGCAGAATTAAGGTGTGATTCAAAATGGCATCATATTCTAAATAGTCAGCAATGTTCTTCTCCGTGGTCAAAATTCACTAACTTGAATTAGTGACAAATAAGAAAATTAAAATACTTAGAAAACTTTTAGATACTTGCTAATTGAGTCTTGAACAATGTCTTCTCTGCTCCTAGCATTATCTCAGAAAGGTGTTCCTTATGGCAGGCTATCTGCAGCACACACATGTGTTTGTTTCCATGAGAGAACATTCTTCAGATTTCTGCTGGAATTCATGGAAGCAGCCTAAGGGTCTTCCTAAACTTTTGATACGGATTCCTAAGTGGTCCATTAATGCATAGTAACATATACAGGTAGTCCTTGACTTACAACCATTCATTTAGCAGCTATTCAAAGTTATGATGGCACTGAAAAAAAGGGACTTATAAACCAGTCCTGGCACTTAGGGTTAGTCATGTGATCAAAATTTAAGTGCTTGGCCAACAATATGTCTTTACAATGACAGCAGGGTGCCAGGGATTTATGATCACCACTTGTGACCTTCCCAGCTGGCTTCCAACAAGCAAAGTCAATGGGGGAAGCCAGATTCACTTAATGACCATGGTGATTCACTTAATGAACACAGCAAAAGGTTGTAAAATTGGGAGTGACTCATTTAAGTAATGGACATTCTGGTCCCAATTGTGGTCATAAGTCAAGGATTACCTGCATCCTCTGTATTAGATTGACATTATTTAGGGCTGTGATGGCAAACCTATGGCACATGTGCCACAGGTGGCACGTAGAGCCATATTTGCTGGAACACACATGTTCGCTTAAATCTTTAGTTTAAGCTATTTAATGCATGGTACCTATTTTTATGTTAAAATAATGGTAATTCAAGTTGAAACAGTATGACAATATATGCATTGCTATCTTTTGAAAGAATGCAGAAGCCCTCTTGAACCACAGTAAGAGGTACAGAAGTATTCTTGCTATGTGTCTCAATGAGGCGTTGTTAAAACTGCAGAGAAGGACTTTGATGGCTTCCCAGTCAATCAAATATGCAAGCAGAATGCCATGCTTTCTTGTGCCAGGATAGATCTCCCAAAAGCCCTACTAAGACCTGGCACAAATCGTTATCTGACCTCCTATCCAAAATCTCCAAGGCAAATGTTAAATAAGGAAAGCTGTATTCTTTTTTATTCTAATGTATGTCAAGTCTATATCTACATTAATTATTAAACTACAGAGCTTTCATTTTATAAATTGACAAAGAAGCACTTCTGTATTTTTTCCTATGGTTAGATCACTCTTGACCAATCTGATGCCATCCAAATGTTCTGGATAATAACTTTTAGGATAATTGGCCAAGGTGGGTAAGAATTCTGGGAGATGTAGTCTTAGTGAAGTTCCCCAGATTGGGAAGGTCTAACATGGATTTATGAAACTTCTCAGTCATCCAGGTCATGGTTGTCGCAAAGGTGCTTTTACAAAAACCAACTGGACTTTCTTTCGTTTTTCCTTGAAGATGTTTCACTTCTCATCCAAGAAGCTTCTTCAGTTCTCAATTCTAGAACTGAAGAAGCTTCTTAGTTAAGAAGCAAAATGTGTTCAAGGAAAAACAAAGAAAGTTCAGTTGCCTTTTGAAAAACCCAACATGGATCATTTTAATGTGATTAAATTTGCAAATGTTTTTAAAACATTTTTTCCAAAACCAGGCTACTATTCACAGAGCCGGGGTAGAAAACTGCATTTGTATGCTCTGAGAGTATTTTCAAGAAGCCATAAAACATTATACTTAGGCTACTCTGCTGCTCATGGGCCTATATACAAGTCCTTGGTCAATATTACTATCAGGCTGCCTATTCATAAGTAAATTTCCTTGAATATAATGATGCTTACTCCAGGACACTGAGTATAAAAATACAGCTGTACTATTATATATCTGTAACTCTAAATGTATTGTTCATGATATTATTACTTTTTTTGAACATCTTATTGTTCATACAATTATTTTCTGGCATATCATATCCAATAGATATTATAAACTTCCCTTTTTTTGTGTGTGTCTTCATGCAGAGAGACACATGTATATTCATATAAATTTATCAGAACTCAGCTAAAATGCATGTGGCTCAAATACATACATGACAAACAATTGGCTGATTTAGAAGTGGACTAGTAGCTAATTTCAGGACAAATATCTTAAGCTATTCTTAGTGCATATGCAGAATGGATGTTATGCAAAAGTGGATCACCTATGTTAGATTTTATTCTTCTTCTGACTTCTAACAGACAAGATCCTACAAGTTTCTGCCAAAACACCTGAAGGGAATTTATTCTCTTTAACCCAACCCTGAAAAGATGTCTGTGGATTTTCCTTTTCACTATAGCAAAAAGAGGCTAGTAATATCACAATGTTGTTGCCCAGAGACACTGCTTTTGTTATCACATTGACTTAGGAGCTTTAAGCAAGAAACGTCTTGAGTAGTACTTTATGTTGGCTAACATAGGTTTCTTCTGGGTTGATTAAAAGAAGGCCCATATGTTTAAACCTCTCTTGGTGTGTCAGTTGAATAGATTGTGATGTAGCATTGCTTTATCATATACAAAAAGCAAGAAATTAAGATTGAAAGAATGCTCGCTTCCTTTAATAAGGAAGACAATAATGCAGTCCAGGACAATCTTTCTCAGCCAAATGCTTTCTAAAACTATTGGATTTCATCTCCTCTATGTTAACCATAACAACAATATGACATGCTAGGAATAATGAGAAATGTAGCTAAACACATCATCAAGACATCTGGTCTGGGAACACTGGTTTGCCTTCTTTATACCAGTATTATGCAGCACTTGATGAACAAAGTAGTTGGACATGAAAAAAAATCTAAGCATCAAAGAAAAACATACGCTGGTTTTAATTATTTTTACTAGTAACAGCCATAATGATGTTTATTAGAACAGGGAGGCAGAGATGAAACAGAGCGAGAATTTGAAGGTAAAGGTTCCCCTCGCACATATGTGCTAGTCATTCTTGACTCTAGGGGGCAGTGCTCATCTCCGTTTCAAAGCCGAAGAGCCAGCACTGTCCGAAGATGTCTCCGTGGTCATATGGCCGGCATGACTAAGCACCGAAGGATCAGGGAATGCTGTTACCTTCCCACCACAAGTGGTTCCTATTTTTCTACTTGCATTTTTGCATGCTTTCAAACTGCTAAGTTGGCAGAAGCTGGGAAAGCTCACTCTATTATGCAGTACTAGGGATTAGAACTGCCAAACTTTCTGATCGACAAGTTCCGCATCTTAGCCACCACGCCACTGGGTATAGAGTATAAACAGTTTAATCACATATTTATTCACAGACAAATGGAATCTTCTTCCATGGAAGGTAAACTCCAAGGGAAGGCAGACTACCGTATATACTCAAGTATAAGCCGAGTTTTTCAGCCCACTTTTTGGGCTGAAAAAAAGCCGCCTCGGCTTATACTCAAG